CCTCCTTTTTACATATATAAAGTTCACAGTCAAGCTGTTTTGTTTGGAGTTCGACAATATCCTTAGAATCTACTAGCCTGAAAGATAGAACAATATATAACCTCGTGTATTCAAGAAAAAATGGAAAAGGACTATAATCATAACACCAGCATGGATACTTTACAAGACTAGCAACTTGAGTAATAAACTCGGACATTGATTCTTCTGAGGCCAAAGCAGGAAGGTCTGTTGATGGATTGACATCTTTGGCTTCTGGTGATACTTCTGCTTTCACAGGAGTACCTGCTGCAGCATTTGAGTTTCCATCAACAGCCACCTTAAAGGCGACAGATGGCACCAAAAGATTTTCCACAATAGATTGAAAATTTTAAAAATCCTTAAAAGTAACTGTTAAAAGAACCTTACCTCATTTAATTTAGTTGTCACCAAATAGAAACACTTCCAACCAGACTGCAAACCCTATAAAATGGAAATTAATTCCCCATGTGAGAATTATACGGATGACCATGGAGAAATTTAAAATGGAATATGATTTGATTCCCAGAGAAATAAGATTTACGCGATAAGATTTACATTTCCAATGAAGAGAAATAAAGAATAATTTTACCATGCCATCCAAAGTTTGGATGTTGATACTTAAGTAAAATACCAAAAAGATATAAGTTTGAATTTCTAAAATTTTCAAAATATAACTTTCTGGCAAAGAGCTCTCCTCACATATAACATGAGGTGATGCAGCGAGAAAGTTAACTAGCCATGTCTTTGTGCACCTGTCACAATGGTGTGGGGCATCAAAGGCTGTTGCCGCTCAAGCTCTAACTCAAGTATTCATCCTACTGCTATACTCTAATTCAGTTTTTCTTTTTCACTCCATTCAAAAAAGAAAAAATGCAATAATATTTTTCCTCAAAAATATGAAAGTTTCGTGAAGATACCCCAAACCACATTTCAGCTTCATCTATTTAGTATTATATATATACAATTCAACTAATATTTTTCAATAAAAATTCAATCTCTTTTCTAGCTCTAACTCACACACGGCAGAAAACGAATAATATAGAAAGTTAAGAAAGAAAGAAAGAGAAAAAAAAAACTATTTTATGGACTAATAAAACACATTTTCTACAATTATGCAGATCATGAATAGTGAGAAAATGGAGACCCGGTCTCATAAATCACATCAAAAAATTGTGGATGAAATTAAATGTATTCTTTTGCCAATGTTTTATTCGTTTTACAAAACCACTATTGAATTCTAGACATTTGTATCTATGGAGCAAGCTTGGAGTTACATAAACTGTCTCTAGCTTGAAGGGGGCTGTTAGAATAGACAAATTCATGGACCAAATTGCACAAAACAGGAAGATAAGGACTGAAGAAGGAAATAGCCAAGAAGAAGAGAAAAACATAATACCAATAATTAGCAACTTTACCTTACTAGAAAATGGAGGAGGAAGGATAATACAGTACAACGGCTACAACGGATTCGTACCCAGCAACTTCACCCATCCTCGATTTCAGGGATTTGATTCCTAGTGCATACACCTCCATTGTACAATTTGTTGTTGAAATCGTTTTGCGTTACTGGTCTTATCTTTGTGTATATATAGGAGTAGAAATGCTCTCCGTATTTTTGAATTTTGTTGATTAATATACAAAGTTATCTTCTTCAATTCTTCATTTATCTGTTTTTATCTGTGATGTTTGGCACTCCCAAACTCTACTCACTCTCTTAGATGGTGTAAGACTGAAGGGTATTTAGTCAATGAATTCTGGGACAATCAGTATTTATAGCCAAAATTGTCAAAACTTCCATCAAGATTTGACGGTTGCGTTTCCACGTCTTACAGTTTATCATGGACAGTTCCAAACGAAGTGGATCATGGGGGCAGTTCCATGTGAACGTGAATTCCCGAGTGGACCACTTGAGGAAGAGAAACTAACAGCCTGACCCTCACTTGCAAAAACATGAACGAGGTTCTCAGTAATAGTCAAGCATCTCTTTTCTAGTGTTATTTTTTTATACATATTTTCTCTGAGTTGTGTAAACATGTTCTACTTTGATGCTGTTCGATTTTTTTATAAAAACCGAAATTAATCCATTGTTCCACGATCAAATATGCCTAACAGCGTTTCATCAATCCCAATCAAAACGGACAGGACGGAAACATTAAATGAACGCTTGTTTCCTCTCTCTCCCACACTGTTGGCGTCATATTCATATCAATCCCTCGTCTAGACAGCGTTTCATCAATCCCAATCAAAACGGACTGGACGTAAACATTAAATGAACGCTTGTTTCCTCTCTCTCCCACACTGTTGACGTCATATTCATATCATTCCCTCGTCTAGCCAGATTAAATTTAGTTGGGATAGCATTATGAATCACCAGCTAAATATACGAATTTTTGGCAGCATTTATAGCTTCCAGACTTCTTGCCACCTAACTGCTAAAGACTAAATTGTCATTCTTTGACTCAATGGATGTACTCTTCTTCTCCCGCACGTGTCAGTAGCATTACCCCCTTCTAACTCAATACTTTCCATTTCTTAAAATGCCAAATGATTGGATCTTCATGGTTCCTTCTTCTCAATGGAATGGAACTAATGATATCACAATCAAAGAAGCTATTTAATTCGTTTCTATTTTTTTTTATCTCTATTTTATTTTTTTATCTCTATTTTCTATGAAAAAAATTTGAATTGTAACTAAAGATTCTTATAATTTTTTTCTTTTTTCATTGTTCTTTATGAAAAATATCCATTTGTAATTAAAAATTATAAGATTGTATAGAAAAGAGATTAATTTATATTTAAGTTTAAATAGATTGATTTCTTGTCTACTCTTTAAAGTTATGTCGATAATACTGAATATTAAATTTTTGATTTTATATATTATTCATTAACTAAGGTGTGTTAAATTTTTATTATTATAAAAATACTTTTTCTTATAGAGCCTGTTTGGGAGGACTTTTTTGCCAAATTTTAATCATATTTTATACCGTTGCTCACCCACTAGCCGGAGTTGTTGACTTTGGTGTCTCACCGTGCTTCCTAGGGAGTGCCAACAAACGGTCAAAAAATCAATTCCATTTGACAAAAAATCTTTGCCAGACACAGCCATATACTTGGTTCATTTTATATTGATGGATAGATGAGAGATAGAAATATGATGAATTACCTAAAAAATAAAAATCTTATCTTAAAAAAAAATATTTTCCTTATTTTCAAAGAAAATATAATCATGTAACCAAAAAGTAGGAAAATATATTTAGCGGAAAAAAATTTCAATGAAACAGCATCAAGGTAAGAAATTAGGTGGAACAAACACATTTTTCGTGAAAAATATTGACAATCCAACATGCACTAAAAAATTCACAATATTGTTCCAGACTCACGAGAATTCTGTTTTAAACGAAAGTATTAAAATTTTTTTTTTTTGAATTGTACGAAAGTCATAAAATTTTTAAAATGAAAGTCTATAGAAGACTATGAAAGACTTCCATTAATTCTTTGCAAATCCATAAAAAGTTCATAAAATTTACAAAGTCATGAATTAAAAAAAGTCCATAAAAATTCTCAGAAGTCCCAATTAAATACGCATTTTTTTAAATCTATGATTAGATGCACGACAACTGGCGGAAGATGATAGAAATGTAAATGTAGCGGTGTTTAGGTTTTGTGATGTTTTCTAGGGTTTTTTCGAGTATACTGGATGTCCGAGGTGTGTTTGACGGCGTTTGGGGGAGTTTGCGGCGGCAGTTTGACGAAATTTATGTTTGTGGTTTCAATTGCGATTTGACGACGGTTGTAGATTGGCAGCGTGTGGTAGTGTTTGCGGTGGTATTTTCTGGCATTTAGTAGCTGTGAATATACACCATGGTGGGGGTGGGAGGGTGATGTTTCTAGGTTTTTCTCGGTTATTTCTGGTCAAGGTGGATGTGGTGGCTTTCGCCGTTGTCGATTAGCTGTATTTGTGGATGTTTCCAGTGGTAGCTGACGGGGTGTTTGGCGACGGTTGGAGGCTAGTGTTTGTAGTGGCAATCGTGGTGGTGGCGGGCTGCAGAAGGCGGCGATTGAAGATTTAGAGTTCGGTACTGAATTCGTTTGGGCTGGTGTGTGGGCTACAATTTGGGTTAGGGTTTATTCTGGTGTTTGCGTTTCTCTTCTTTTGTTAGGTTGAGATCCGGACTAGGTTTTGTAAAGGATAAAATTTTCATTATTTGGGCTTCAAGCTAGTGGGCTTGTGCGTGGACAATTCTCAAACTGGTCATGGGCTTCAAAGTGGTCTTTATGCCCTATTTAAATGTAAATTGTTACTCGTCTCGCTCTCTCTTCTTAATTCGTCCATTCCTGTAACGGTGGCGGTATGTACCAGATTTCTCAACAGGAGCCCAGAAAACGGACTCTATAAATATCGAAACCCTAGAAAATCCTGGTCTTTCCGGATCTGATAAAATCATCAAGGTGCAATCGAAGTTATTTATTTATGTGCTTGGATTTGTGTCCCAGTTGATTATATTTAAGTTATTACAGCACCTGTTTTCTGAATTCACTAAATTATGGAATTAGACTGTCCATTACAACCAATAATCCGTGGCTGCAGCAGCAGCAAATGGAGGGACAGTAATAATGGAATCTTTTTTGTTTTACCAGAGGATATTTTGATGGAAATACTGTGTAGGGTGCCGGACAAGCCCCTGGTCAGACTTAAGTGTCTGTCCAAAGCGTGGTACTTTTTGATTTCTCGACTTTGTATTCCGATTATGTCATCCCCACCCATTGCGAGGCCAAGGCCTGTTGTTGGCCTGTATTTTCGTACTTGGCAGCTCATTAAGAAGGAATTTCAATTCGTTACCAGAACACGACATCACCCTTTATTATCTTATTTTTCTGGTGATAGCCTGCCGAAATATTATTCTCGAGAAAGACACTTTGGTCATTATGCATCACTCAATGATGAAGGTGAAAGCAGTGGCGATGGCAAAGGGCGGCTCTTTGGGTGGGGGGGATGCGTTGGCTCTTATGATTTACCGTTTATGCCTCAACCAGATGACCTTCTTGACTGCTGTAATGGCTTGCTTTTATTCGTTGATACTACTACTTCTGATTACTATGTCTCTAATCCGCTGACCAAACAGTATGTGTTGATTCCTCGACCCTGTTGGAGTCAGCAAGAATTTCTTAATGCTGCACTTGCGTTTGATCCATCTAAATCAACTTGTTACAGAATTGTTCGGTTTGAAAGGATTATAAAGGAGAGGAGCCTAGTTTTACACATATACTCTTCTGGCAACAGGAGTTGGTCTAGACGCTCAGTAAAACAGGGCCCATGTGAAAGTAGAACCCTATGGTTCCGGCCTTCGACATATTTCAATGGGGCATTGTTTCGGTTATCTTTGTCTTGGCACCTTATACAGATTGATCTTGAGGAATTCAGTGTTTGTGCAACGGAGCTCCCTTTGACAGTTGGCCAGTCCAAAGGTCTGATAGGTTGCCTTGGAGTGCTGAAGGGACGACTATGCTATGCTAATGAAGACGGCAACGTGATGAACATTTGGTCATTCGAGAAGCAAGGTTGTGATAACTTCGGTAAATGGGTTTTGAGGCATAACATCAATATTTATGATTTGACTCGTGGTCTGGTGCTGTGTAGAGAATGTGGCCCTCCTGATTCTAAATGGGTTGGACCTATTGCTTTCCATCCGAGCTCTAGCATTGTCTTCCTGGGCACTCCTCTCGTGATCCTGAGATATAATTTGGATAATAACATGCTGGAAGAGCTTATCAGAATAGAGAAAGATCTCATTTTTCCTGGATGTTACTATCCTGCTTTTACTTATGTTCGATATCTTGCCCCATTCAATAAAGAAGGCAACATTTGTGCCATGCCCATGTAATTTGCATCTCATTCTCCAAAATTTTAATTAATTTGTTTTATTATTATTATTTACATTATGGCATGTATTTTCTAACATCTTGTTGTTAGCCCTGTTTTGCATTTTTAATTATATTTTTGAGCAAGTTTTAATGCAGAAGCAAAGTATATTAGTTTAACTTGCCTTAAGAATAGGATTTTGTAAATTATGTTATGCAGTGCACTAGTAATACATGCTTGTGTGATGGCCCTCCTTCAGAGACTAATGATACATATTTTGGAAAATATAGTTTTACATTAGTTTACATAAATCGTAGATGATGCTTGTATGAACTCTTGAATTCGATATAATTGTTGTTACTTTTAATGTGTAGTTTTCTTGAGATTTAGTCGCAATGATAGTTTTGCTTGATAGAATTAGGGCAACTATCCCTTTTTAGGGACTGTACTGGTCCATAACTTTGAATTTGGCTTTCACACTACACGGTGCACTCGGTTACTACTTTTTGGAGGGTTTTGAGAGCATAGAATCACGAAACCCTTCTTGACGTACTAGAGCCATAGAAAGGAGAGAGTTCAGTGGACCTTAACAATAAAAATGAGAGAGCTTTTTAACAAGATTGGCTATTTTATTCAATTGTCTTTTAATTTTCCATTTAGGAGTTCGAACGTGATCAATGATCCCTATTGTTAATTTTTATTAGGGGCATGTTTGGATCGGATTAAAATCTGATTTTAAACAAGTCAAACAATCAATATTAACCACATTTTTCATGGATCCACATCATTTCAACCACACATTTCAAAAACTTTTATCACAATCCACTAAAAATCTAATTTTAGTCGCAATGACTACCAACAATCTAGTGATTTTCCAGACCCATTAAAAAAAGGACGAAAAGTGATGTATATTGATCTCTCTATGGTGTTCGAAATCTATATAAAATAAAAAGGTTATGTTTTCCACTCATTGCTATTTGAACCAATTTCTATGCGGATCAGTGTCAATTGAGACCACAAACTATCATAGTTGGGATGCCCCAAATGGTTGGTTTCAGAATAAATAACAATGGATGCATAATGTTTTCAATAAAGATAATAATACTATCTATCCTCGATGATGCTAGAACAATAGAACCATATTCGACAAGTCTAGAACTATCACCTAGATTAATAAATATAATCAGCCAGGTTGAATAGCATTTCTCCTAGTCGGCTAGTGCTCTCATTTTTAATCCTCTTCTATTTTTGCATTTACTTAAGATGAAGAATTTGGCGTGAAATTGGACTTGTTTTTCCTTTCAGAAGATTTTGGCCTAGTTTGGTTATTATCGTGGACATGCCAAGGTCTCAACTTTAAATTGGGCAGCAAACTTGCATGAAGCTATAGAGAGATCAATACCAAGCCACGGAGAAAATATTGATTGTGTATGAATATGATCTAATATACGATTCAGACTTTTTCCACCAGCTGAATCGTTTCCAGATCCTCCTATTCTCTATTTATTTACTCCTAACAAACATGACATCAATTTACTAATAAACTCCTTTCTTCCTTTCTAATTGCCATTATACCCCTTCTTGTGGCGCCTTTGATAAGTGAACCGGATGGGAGGCTTATCAGAATCTTCGGAGGGAAAACACTAGTTCGGAAATTCTAACCAAAAAATTGAAACACAAATCTACCTTAAAGAATCCATTCCTACTCTCTCTCTCTCTCTTCCTTTTTTCCCTCATCAAATTTATATCAATTACCTTCACTAATGGTGGTTCACCAGGTGTCGGACTTCTGTAGAATGTGCCTGCCATGGGGCATTTAAGTGGGGGAAAAGATGAACTTGATTTCTTCACTTCAGGTGCAGAACGTGCTGGGGTTGGTGCAGGAGTGTATGCTGGAATTGGTGCTGGAGATGGTGTAGGGAGTGACGGTCGTACAGCACACTGAGAGTGTGATTGCATCATTGTAGCAGGAGTAGGCGGTGGAGGCAACACCTCCTTTTTACATATATAAAGTTCACAGTCAAGCTGTTTTGTTTGGAGTTCGACAATATCCTTAGAATCTACTAGCCTGAAAGATAGAACAATATATAACCTCGTGTATTCAAGAAAAAATGGAAAAAGGACTTAATCATAACACCAGCATGGATACTTTACAAGACTAGCAACTTGAGTAATAAACTCGGATATTGATTCTTCTAAGGCCAAAGCAGGAGGGTCTGTTGATGGATTGACATCTTTGGCTTCTGGTGATACTTCTGCTTTCACAGGAGTACCTGCTGCATAATAGAAACACTTCCAACCAGACTGCAAACCCTATAAAATGGAAATTAATTCCCCATGTGAGAATTATACGGATGACCATGGAGAAATTTAAAATGGAATATGATTTGATTCCCAGAGAAATAAGATTTACGCGATAAGATTTACATTTCCAACGAAGAGAAATAAAGAATAATTTTACCATGCCATCCAAAGTTTGGATGTTGATACTTAAGTAAAATACCAAAAAGATATTAGTTTGAATTTCTAAAATTTTCAAAATATAACTTTCTGGCAAAGAGCTCTCCTCACATATAACATGAGGTGATGCGGCGAGGAAGTTAACTAGCCATGTCTTTGTGCACCTGTCGCAATGGTGTGGGGCATCAAAGGCTGTTGCCGCTCAAGCTCTAACTCAAGTATTCATCCTACTGCTATACTCTAATTCAGTTTTTCATTTTCACTCCATTCAAAAAAGAAAAAATGCAATAATATTTTTCCTCAAAAATATGAAAGTTTCGTGAAGATACCCCAAATCACATTTCAGCTTCATCTATTTAGTATTAT